TTAGATCGTTTTGAATTAAAAATTAACACTAGCATAGGCCTACGAAAAAAAAGACTTTTTAAGTGATTTTCCATTTTTTCTCTAAAAACTGTTTCCGTCAAATATTCCTTTTAGAAATCTAAAATGTCCATCTAAATATGCAGAATTTTACAGAGAATTTCGTGGAGTAGTTGAAACTTTACTGAAATTTTTATTGAAAATATTTTGCTCATTCTTTCGGGATTTTTGACAGTTGCAGTTGGACAATTAAGTAGAGACTTATCTTTGAAATTTTGTGCTGATAATAAAAACCTTTTTTGAAAAACAAAATCAACAGTTTTGGAGAGCTTGAAATTCTCCATCTTTTCATAGATAAAGAAATTTTCTATTTGTCCCCCAAAAAATAGGAAAAAAATGCATTAATATCTTGTCCAGTTTATTATGGCCCACCCGTTATATATATATTTTTTTTTGATAATAAGCGCACAAATGCTGTGTATTAAAATTCGAATTATTTTTCAAAACGGGTGTGGATGTGGGTGTCGGAGAAGACATCTTCACCCCTACCCTCAAGAGAATATAGCGAGATTTCATGATATACTATGAAAAAACCCCAAGCTTCTCTGATATATAGACAGCCAGAATTCATTTTCTAACAAATAAAAAGCTAAACATATAATTTCACATAGATCGGAACTAATCAATGTTAAAATTTCGGGTTACTGTATTTGTAAAAAGTTCCAGAACAGACCAAAATATTTTCCATAATAGAAGATAGTCTACAATCATTAAGAGTAGTAACATCAGAGTGTCCAGATGAATTAACATTAGGATTATTTTGTTCACAATAATGAAGTATTTTGTTTTGCTCGGTGGAATATGTTTCAATTCGCTGTCGAATTAATTCTTCAAGCTTTTTAATTTAATTGCATTGCACATTCCACGGTTAATATGCATTCTAAACATAGGCAAATGTATACGTTTTAATAAGAAGACATTTTATCCCTACTTGAAACGTCTGTTGTAAGTTCAGTATATTTTTTTTGCGTAACAATTGAATATTGTTTTTTTTATAAAAACATTGACAATTATTTTAACATATAATTTATATTATTTAATAAAAAAGTCTATATATGATATGTTTTAAATTTACAGAGAGAACACATCGATTAACAATTTAAATAATATTATATTATATTTATGCGAATAAATTTTTATCAATAGGATTATTTTTAAAAAAGAAAAAATATTTCTCATCAATATAAATAATATTCATTGAGAAAAACAAAAAGTTGATTATTCAATTAAATTCAATAGCTTTATAATTCTTTACAAATATATAGTTAAATTTTAAATATTAATTAATAAATATAAATAAAATATTTGAATAGAAGATTTATTTATGAAGAAAAAAAGACAGATAATAATGATTCAATTGAAAAAAAACCATAAAGAAAATTGAAGGTAAATAAAATAATAAAAAGGTTTTAAAGTAAATAGCTGGAATAAATTAAAAAAAAGTTTAAACAACTGATCTTCGTCTAGCATTAGCTGTTTTAACTAAATCATCAACTTCACTCCAATCAATATCAATAAGACAATCAATTACTTTAAGATCATCATAAATACAAGCAACATATTGACGACCAACTGTTGGAACTTCTGGTTTTATTGGATTAATTAAATTACCTTGAGCATCGTCAGTTCCTTTACTATCGAGAAAAACAGGAATACTTTCACCTATTAAATAAAAATATATTATTTTAATTAAAAAACAAAAAAAAATAGAATCAAATAAAACCTCGTTGTTCATATGTGTATTGTTTCATATTTTCATAAACACGCCCTTTTAAATTTTGAATTGAATTTCGATCAAATTTTAATGTAAAATGATCTTTAGGTGGCGTTGTATGTGTTGATGGTCCCTTTTCAGCATCAGATAATGTTGCTAAAAACACCAACTTCGATTGTTCAATATGTTCTAATGCAATATCTTTTCCTTTTAAAATTCCCATTTAATAACAAATAATATTACTTATTCTTGCTTATACTTACAAATAAATAGATAGATATAGCATTTGTTGCTAGTCAATATATATACATTTTCTATATAAAACAACTTGTATAATTTTCCGTGGGAGTTAACTAAAAGATATTTCTTGTTGACAGATATATGACAATTGATATTCATATAGATTTATTTATAAACTACACTTGTATTACTAGAATAACGTCTTTTATTATCAGTTATTTTGACTCATTCCAGAAAAATATTTTTCTATTAAGATAAATGATATTTATCTTACGAGAGGATGTGGGTGTCGCTGGGATCGATAACGTGACACTCGTACCCACACCCACACCCAGAACTATATTTTTTAAAGTCATCCTAAATGGATATTGGATCGAAACTAATATTAAAACGATTAGTTCTGATTAAACTTAAGTGAACAAGCAGAAAAAGAGGATATTAGAGACTGAATTAATTGCAAGATAATAACAAGACATCTCAAAATCAGCGACAATGATAGTAAAATATTCATAGTTTTCTACCCAACAAGTTTTTCGCAACTTTCAAATCAGGAAAACATTTTTTGGACAGATTGTCAGTGAAACCAAGAACTCCTAGTCTTGCTCGTGTTTTAATTAAAACTCACTATTGTTTCGACAAGTACTAAAAAAGAAATCTCGATGCATCGTGTGAATCTATTTGTTGCCAACAATAACAGAGCTTTATTGAACACATATACTAGGTGTGTTCAGTTTATTATTCCAGATATATTCATAACTTCGAAACATATTGATTAATGATCAATTTGTGCCAACTGGCAGATTCTTCGGTGAAAAAAAAATGATATAATTGTCTTCATTCTAATAATATTTCAATCAGTTTGAGTAAACATACTTGTTTATTTGTTTCAATAAATTTGGGCGACACATATGTGATATTAGAACGAATAAAATATTCTTAGCGATCTCTGATACTTTTACAATAAACTATTCGCCTTTTCTTGTTTTTTCCAATAATATTTAACAATTCTTCTTCATGCCTTGGGAAATTTTTCATGACTGAATGAAAACTCTAAATACTACAGCATTTTTTTCAACAGCTTCTTAAAATTCTCAACTGATGATTTAGTGAAAGATAGAAAAAAAAAATGATCAAACGACTATGTATATGTTTAATCGGACTTTATTTTCTCTTCTCTGTCCGAAAAAGATTTCTAAAATTGACTAGTTATTAACTGTCTTATGTGAAGCACAGGTTTAATCGATATGTTATTATTACTCTGTAATTCTAAGTCCTTTATTTTCGAAAAAAAAAACATTATAATAATAGATTTGTTCAATCGACCGTGTATCTTTATCGTTTTTTACGTACTAAATATATATCCCAAATACAAAGCAACTGACAATTGGTCAGCATTAATAGAGATTCGTGTGATACACATTTTTGGTAGCAGACATTTTTTAAGAGCACCTATAGTTTTATCAAAATATGATTTATATCATATTTGAATTTTCCCAACTATTTTACGTAGGTGTTTGCAATTACTCCACTTGGGGTAATTGCATAAAATTTTAGTATTTTTTCAATTTACTATTTTAATTACTGTTTCAGTTACTTAATGAGCTTTACAATAAGATTTTCACCAATTGTAGAGAATTACTAGTTCGATCTATCTGTGTAAAAATTATTAATTTATCTTTTAGAACTGAGGAGAAAATCGATTTTTACTAATCCTATGTAAAATGGCTGTGAATTTGCAAGTATCCCACTCTACTCTAAAGAATTAAAATGTTTTTTTTTATAAATGAGTTGTAAAATATTGTATTTGAGAATGATTTGTTTTTGGTGCAATCTAAAATAAAAATAATTGTTATGATTTTGAGAAAAGAATAATTATAAACTTACTAATAAAGCGTTTGATTGCCAATTATTATTCGAATCAAGATAATGGCAACCTGATGTATAAATTCTTATTTGATAATTTGATGTAAAATTTGAATAATGATTTATTATTAATTGAGTTTTAATTAAATTATTTTAACAAATATCTTCTAATTATGTTGATGTTAATTCTCGTAAATCAAAAATAATTGATTCATAATCTGATATTTGTTGATTATCAATATAATATTCAGCAAAAACTTTTATTTATTAAATCTTTTTTCTTTTAATTTGAAGAAAGAAATATTTCTATAATAAAATAAAGAAAAACTTACTGAAAAGACAATATAAAGTTGATCCATTTAATTGAATTAAATTTACATCTCATGAAATAATTAATTCAATTGAATGATTTTCATTTATATAATTCGATTTATGCATGTACCTATGGATTGAGAACATACACCTCAGCAACAGTCAAAAGGTGTCGTATGATGCTTTTAATCTTCGTTTTTCATTTCATATAAACTCAAATCTTCATCTTCGCAAAATTATTTTCTAAAAAGAAAAAAAATGAATAAATAACTTTTAGAAGATTCAAAACGCAGATATGACGATTTTGAAGTTGATGCTAATTAGTTCATGAACTTTTTTTTTTCATGATGCTTTTATCTTAAACAGGTCTTTATTTCTGTAAATAAGAAAATTATAAAATTATTTTATGTCCATAAGTGTCCAAAATAGTAGATTTCACTGTAAATCATTTCAAAAGTAAATAAATCAAAAACTACCAAATACTTGTCGTGCCTATCGTATGCTTAAATATGGTGACGTGACTATTTGTCCATAGAACTAAAGAAATAAAAAAGGCCTTCTTTTCTCTATATGTTATTTCACAATATGGAGTAATTACTCAAGTATATATATATAATACGGGAATATAAAATGCACTTCTACATATTTTCTTCTACTCTGTGATTAAAAATTGTAATGTCCGTCAGAAAACGTCAGAAAAAAATTGAGAATGAAATGTAAGTCTTATAGATTATTGTTATTCTTATATATTTTATTTAGTTTAAACAAAAGGCAAATTACGAAATTTGAACACCTTCCAGATGAATTGATATTAATGTGTTTTGCTTATCTTGATTTCTATTCTCTATATGAAATATTCTATTATTTAAATCAACATTTTAAACAATTGATTCAATATGAAATAAATATTCATATTAATTTAAATTCAATTCCATCTAGAAAATTTTTAACATTTTGTTTTCAAATAAATCAATACATAAAAACAAGTCAAAACTATTGTCTATCAATTGTAGCGAATGATAAATACAGACTTAATTTAATATTAGAAGATGATTTATTTAAAGATACATTCTCAAAATTAAAATCATTATCATTATCAACTGTAGATGCTGGAACTATACATTCTCTAATATTTAATAAAACAATCAAATTATATCAAAGATTAGAACGATTAAATTTATTGCATAAAATCAGCGAAAAACATGAAGGAAGTAATGATATTGATTGTAAGAATAATAATTAAAATCTTCTTGAGCAATTATCTTTGAGATAATTGAAATTCAACTTTATGTATTTAGATTTATGTAGCAGTTTAATATCATCAAAAATGAAATCACTAAAATATCTTAGATTAAATTTCGAATCATATTGGTGTGGATGTGAACGAGGTTGGGATGCACGTCCAAATTATGTTGAGTTAGAATTTAATCAATTAATAGTTGGAAATAGATCATTATCTAATTTAGAAACTCTTATTATTGGAAGTAAATTATTTCTTTTTTCTACATATATGTCTCATTTATTTGAATAGATATCCCTCATAATCATGACAATGATACAACAACAAAAATATCGTTTAAGATATTCAATGAAAAATTATTACCTTGTCTACCAAAATTAAAAAATTTAATAATAAATGCAATTCATTTTGATCAAAAACAATATTCAAGACAAAATATAATATATGTAAAAAATACTTTCTCTTCAAACTTTCTTCATTTTAAGATAACTGTTTAGATTATTTGTTATAAATATTTATTTTATCTTTCTTTTTCTATGATAGATATCACCATCAACTATAGAAAGAAATTCAAATATTCCATTAAATTTAAAATTAATTAAAATCTGGATTGATGATAAATATGCACCAGATGATGTAAAAACAATGAGAAAATTTTTACGGAATTTTTTTATGAATAACAATTCATCTGATACTACAACAATTAAAATATTCTATATTAATAATAAAAACATTTTAAAAAGAAAACTTCGAGATTTCAATTAAATAAATTTGAACTTTTATTGATGATTAATATAAGATTAGATGTTTTTGTGATTGTTTTACTTTTGTTTTTTTTAAGTGAAAATTTAGACGAAATGCTGTATTCTTTTAATTACGAATTCAGTGTTAATTGTGATATAAACAGCTAACAGCAAAGTAATAAAAGAGTATTGTTGTGATCTTTAAGACAATATTATGTTGTTGACTACTTTGTATGTACGTGATATTCATACAGGTGTTAAGCATAATTCTTTTTTATCTTAGAATCTTTTTTTGTGTGAATCGAAGTGTAAATATAAGCGTCATTTTTCTAGGGCTGACTCTTCGGTGAGTTATACTAGATAACTACCAGAGAGAACTCCAAAATGTCTTATTTTTAATTTAAATTTATATGACTATATTATCTTCTTGTAAAAACCAATGTTCTATAGAGACTATCTTTTACAGCAGTACTGCATTAAAAGAAATCGCTGTTGGTCAAAATGTCTAAATGAACAACTGAAATATGTACCTGTAAAAATAAAAAAAAAGTTTATGGATGGGATCCTAATGCAAATCAAGATGTGTTATTTATTATACATTGAGATACAGTTTTGATGACCTTTATTAAGTTTATATGTTTGAGAGCCAGTTTTTTTTTGCTGTTAGATGTGTAAGTGATGAAAAGAGTAATATCGCTTTAGAAAAGTTTTATCATCAAAGGCGTTTCTAATGAGTAAAATGACTGAAAATGTATTAGTCATGTCATTGAACAATTCATTATCATTAACACATCATAAATATTTGAGTACTCATCTGATATCTTTGATGTTAACTTCGTAGGAGTCACTGCACGAGATGCACGACCGACGCCATAGAAGAGTGCTCAATCATAATCTCAGAATCTCATAAGGCCTATCTAATCTTGTAGAGATCTTTTTTTAGGTATAGAACCAAATTTTTTCGGTTCTTATTGGAAACCTCCCCGCCTAGATATTTCGATCTTTCGAAAAGTTTTTACTGAAAATATCTTTGGAATTAATTTTCTTTAATTCAACTAGTGGGATCATGCTTAAAATGCTCAAACTTGAAGCACCATTCAACAAATCATTCGTCAGTTATACAGAAATTTCATATTATTTTATTAGAAAAAACAAGCAATGGTAGGTATACATAAACACTAGTAATTCTTCTAGAATCACACCGTTCACCGACCCACCGTAGTGCCACTGGCATCAGCCCATCGTTCATTGGGTGATACGATGAACCGTGACAGCGGTGAACAGTGCACCGGTGGTACTGATGGTTGGTACACTAGTTGATTTCTAGTCAGTTACTATTATGATGTCACGGCGCTGCATCTATAATTAAGGATCTCATTGTCTATAATATTCATCAATGTCTGTAGGCGCTTCATATTTCAACACTTCATAAAAATTTCCTGCAAGGTATTTTAAATAGAATGGAGAAAAGATAGTCATCTACAATTGATAGTATCTATTTATAATAAATATAAATGGATATTAAAATCTTGAATAATGTATTTTATTAGACATAAGTATTCGCAAAAAATTACATTCACAATGAAATTTGACGTTATAGAAAATATTATAATATTTATTGGTCTATTCGTCGTCAGAATATAGTGAATCTTCACCAGAAGACGAAGAGTCTGTATTGGAGAACGAAGAATCTTCGTTCGAAAACGTAAGTACACGTAACTGTCTATCTTCATGACAACTATTACATATAGCAATTATAAAATATGCTAGAATAATCACAAGATCATCACAGAGTAAATGAAGATGTTTGTTCATTCTTTTTCCAGTATAATAAAATGTCCAACCAGCAAAAACTGGAGTAAGTACTGCACCAACAACAATACCGGTAATCGAAACGGCACGTAGAGCAATTGATGAACTTGGAATGATGAGTCGTGCAGCGTCATCAGCCACTTTGCCTAATGTACCGAGAATGACACCAGTGCGTCCAATAATTGTACCAGCATGACCAGCAATAAGTGAAGTTTTGTTTTGGATTTGATATGTCGGCTCTTGTTTAACATATTGAATTGAATCTGAGCTAGATGTTATCGCTATTTGCTTGGTCTTCTTAGATATTAAATATTTAAAATAGCCAGATTTCAAATATTTTTTTGGTACCGTTAACTTTTTCTCTATTAAATATTCCTCGAAAGAATCTTTTATTCTATAAAATGCATTTGTTATCGTCGAGTTATCATGAATGCCAAAGGTTTGACGTATTTTTTCACGTCCAAAAAATGCTGGTAGTTCATCAAGAAATGGAATGATACTAGCTCCAGCAGCAAGCCATCTATATCGTGTTTGTGAGACAACATATCCACGACGAAAACATGTATTGATAATGGTTCTTGAAGCACAAATGGCGAGTTTACAAATACGTGCAACTCGAAAATCTGCAATAGCCAATTGAAGCAATTCGTTTTTCAACTTATTCAAATCGAATGTAGCGAAAGGTGCTTCTTTCAGATCATCATTACAGACAGTTGCCGTTAAATATACATTGTTGGATAGGTGTCTGTTATCGGAAGTAACTAACGCATATCTTCTAAGTTCATTCAGAGTATGTTTCACTTGATATTTTGTAGTGTTTCTCTTCTCATATTTTTTATCAGTTAATTCCAGCAAGACATCATTGAAAAGTAAATCGACTTTGCTTCTAACTAAAAGACATTTTCGTCCAAGTCTTTTTTCGATATACTCTTGACAAATACGATTATGATCATTAAATGATCTGTCGAACACGATGATATACAGATCACAATCTGCTTTATTGATTAATTCAATATAATTTTCAACGGATTGAGATTTATCAGTGTCAATGACTTCTTCAATATCGATGAAAGTCATAGGAATAATTTTATTATTATCTGGATTCTTGTAGACAAATGTATCGAATTGCAGATAACTAAATATATTTCGGTTCACGTCAATCATTGAAGAAAACTGATTTATCTCGGTTAGATTCATTAATAATGTACTTTTTCCGACATTTCTATCACCAATCACTCCAATCTTGTATGGAAGTAAATAGATACAATTGTCATCACTTAACAAATGTTTTACGTCTAGTTCCACAGATTTAAATAAATCAAGTACTTTCGGCTTGAATTCATTGTCTACATCATGATTACTCTGCCATTTTTCCATTAGCTGAGTGATTTGAGGAAAATAATTGAAAATTTCTAATTCTTCTGTTCGTACACGCAACATTTCAAGTAATAATATGTATTTTGAATATGGCATATCTTGAAATTGATCATCTCGTAAAAGTTTATCATATTCATCAGTATATTGTTCAATAGCTTGTAGATTTTCACGTAAATAATTTAGTTCTTTTTCGACAATAGATATTATTTCTAACATTCTTATTGACTTATTAATAGTATTATTAAATAATTTAATTTGTTCAGTTTTACTTTCAAGTAACGATGTAGCTGTTCCCAAGCGTGATAAAAGACATTTCTTCCGAAAAGCAATATCTTCAAGAATATCATCGATAGCTTTAACACTCTGTTCGGATGATAGTTTGTCTAAATTATGCATACAATATAATTGTTCAATATGTTCTCTGTGAGTATCAGATATGTTCGGTAAGATGTTGTTGTCGTCATTCAATTCGAGTTTTTCAATGATTTTGATTAATGAATCGCAAGAATGATCAAAATTTTCCATACCTTTCTTGTACTTGTCTAACCAATTCTTGACAATAATATCACGATGTTTCATTTTTTGATTAGTTTCTTCCATTTGTCTAACTAAATTTTCAAGATTCATATATAACTCATTCACATCCTTGATAAGCTGCTCATCAAATGAATTAATAGAGTTATCGATTCCTACTCTGTTTTGAAAAAATCTATTGAATCGAGATTGAAGATGAATAAGTTGAGATTTTATATTTCCCACGATGATATAACAGAACATATTATTCGAGGAGTTCATCTTGACATCAAGCAAGCTCTGAATTCCATATAACTTATACATCCTCTCCCAGATTATATACTTCTCAATTAAGACATTATGTTGCGGAGTTACATAATTTTTGCAACTAATGCATACGAATGGATGTTTAGGAGGTAAACCTTGAATAGCTTGAACACAATGGCTACAATACTGTTCACCACATTTAACATTCGAACATTGAAACAGTCGTTGACGATCAACAATACCAAAAGAATTTGAACACAAAGGACAAGCAGGATTAATCTATAAACGAAATTATAACTATATTTAATTCAATAGTTCTTGAACAAAATACATACGAATCTGATAAATAAATCTTGAGAATAGCCTTTTTGAGGTAAGTCAGGCACGGAAGTTAATGGAACTTCAACATTACTGCTGTCTATGTATGTCAGAATACTATTGTCATCATTGAATGTTCCGTCTTTGAATAAGGCAAAAACATCCTTTTTAATATCATCCACTGAAGTGTACTTCTTGTCTTTTAAAGTTTTATTTGTTGAAAGACAGTGAACGCGAAAAATATGATGATCTGCTTTGTTAGAAGTTGCCTTTGATTGAGAAATATTTAACTGGTTTGAAATCGTTAGTAAAGTATCTGTTGATGTTGAATTTATTTGTCTATCTTCTAGTATACAGGATACTATGACATAATCGTCTTCTGAATAAATATCCATCTAATGCATTGGTACAAGTTATAAACGAATGGAGAGAAAAATATTCTCTTTAAATAGGTAAAAAGATTAGATAATCATTCGTTTCTTTTTTCACATTAAAACACACTCAGTTTTTTGTATAGCAGTCGCAAGCATCTTTATGAGATACATACAACAATAGATAATATCTTGTTTTCTTTCAACAAACATGTGTCATAAAGTTTGGTCAATGACGTACAAATAAAATTCGAAAAGTATAAAATAATCAACTTTATTCGTCAAAAAGATCTTTGGACTTTTGTTTTTCTTAGTTTTATGACATCATTCTTTTCTATGACAAATAACTTTGATGCATTTTGCAAGCGCATCGTATAAGCGATATGAAACATGTGACGGAAGTGTGTGGGTATGGATGTGGACATCAATCTTGTGATCATCCACATCCCCGCCCTAAGTCGATAAGTATGTGTTCTTACAAGTTTTGTAGAACTTTTTATGCTTTATATTTTGAAGAAAAAAAAATCAAAACTTTATCATTTGTCTTTGCACAGATATTTGCAAAATAAGATATGTTGCAAACATTTTTGAACATCCAATAACAACATAACCTAAATCTTCACTTCTGACTATCTAGAAAAAAATCATCCGAGTAAGGCAATAGAGGTTTCTTCATTCAGTTTTTGTAGAGCTTTCGATGACGCATTTGTTGAAAAAAAAAAGATTAAGATTTTGTTGTCTTCTAAAGATGAGATGTATGCAAAATGAAAAAAGTCTTCCGAAAATTGTTATTACTATAAATACGATGGTAAGCAGCAATAATATTTAGAAGCTTTATGTTGGCTATAGGAAAAATCATCAAAACATGTAAGTTGAAATTTGATCCGGCATTTTTTGTAAAACTTTTCATGGCACATCTTTTGAAAAAAAAATCAAGTTTTTTATCATTCATCATTGCTGGAATATATGCAACATACAGCATGTTGCAAACACAGTAATTCAACATCATAGAAATAATCCTTCATTATAAATGATATTGGACGAATCAGCATTTTACTCAACGAAGGAGTCTGAAGTTTTTATTACCTAGATGTCTAGCCGAGATGTATAATATTGTAAGTTTCAATTCCCTAGCTGAAACTATAGCTCAAATGAAAGGATAAAATTGAAATACATGAATTGTTGCGCTGGATTTTTGAGACATCTCTATTTCTTGACCAGTGATATTTATAAACATGTGATGAAAAAACAAAACTTTATGAAACAAAGTTTTTCAAAAATGTAAATTTCAATAAAACTCAATGTATGTGAATATGTTCTCCATGGATTTTTATGAGCAATTGTAATTAATATAATATTTCATTCGTTATCTGTGCACATTTTTCTTTTTATAATAATAATGGTGAATGAAACACTCATGCAAGAGTTTTTTTTACGTCAGTGCACCCTAAGCATTCTCAGTCCTACATATGTCAGTAAATTTAGCTGATGAAAATTTAAGATAAAACTGATGATTAAATCTACAGTACGGGCTAATTAAATTGTCCCTCTTTATTTTATTTTTGTTTCTTATTACTACTGTTCTTTTGTTGATTAACGTACTATATATATAGAAAGAAAGCCTTCTACGTGCTACATCTTTTGGTGTATTTATGTTAAATATCAAATGTAGTTAGAAGTGTAAAAAATATATTAGAAAAAAATGACACATTTTTTTTTCTACAGGATGCCCAGAATGTTATGACATTTTCTATTTCGCATATATCGTGACGCAGGTAAACAATATACTCTTGAATTTTCATCCAAAAAAATTCTTTTTATCTGCTCTAATGTTTTCTTCTCATATTCAAAATAAACAACTTGTATAACAATGTCATTACCTATTCTACTGGAAATGTTTCGAATACTTTTCTGATTCGTTGTAAGACTTGGAATATACAACTTTTGTAGAACTTTCACAACAGCTCATCTTTTAAGAAGAAATACAACAACTCATCGTTCTCTCAAGCTGAGATATATGCGAAATAAAAAAAAATGTCAAAACATTATGAACACCCTATAGAAAAGAAAATGTCATTTTTTCTTTCTAATATAGTCTCTACACTTTTAATTGCATTTAATTTTCAACATAAATACATCAACAAATGCAATGCGTTTCGAGTTTTCTTTCTATATACAATAGGTTAATAAATAAAAGAACTATGGTAATAAAAAACAAAAAAATACAACGGCAGAAAATTTCATTGACCAGCACTGTACATGAGATAAAAATCTACCTTATAAATTAAGAAAAAAATATGAGAAATCTTAAGAAGTAATTCTCCTTCAGAAAGTAAAAAGAAATTTATAGTAACAAATTATTTTCTGACTTGCTTGAATAGAACTCTTCAGGAACAAAGAGAATAGTTGTTTGAGTTTAATAAAAAAAAATGTAGCATTATATAATTGTTTCTTTATATGAGAAAAATATTTAGTCAGCGAAACTTGGGAGAAGACTTTTGAAATCGCCCATAACTAAATCTGGTTTTTGTTTTGAATATTCAAGGACTATTCCATTAAAAAATACATGATAAAACATACTCTAGTGTAAACAACAATTGCACAGTAGGATATGGTTTCATCGGAACTAGAAGAATGTTTTGTTTTTGGTTTTATACGAGACTCTAGTCTTGAAGCTTTATTTTCTTGTTACCATATGAGACAGAAATTGTAAGATTTTTGTGAAAGTCATGTAATCCTATCGTTTTCAATGACTGAATGAAAATAATTTTTTCTCCTAAGCAAAAAGATCTGTAAGTTGGTTTTATGATCAGATTCAATAATAAATAACTTATGAAACTAAGAAATATTTTAAAGTAAGAAACGTTTCATATTCTTCAGATCAACTCAATAGACACAAAAATCTGATGATGAATTCATATGTTCAACTCATTGCTCTACTCACACGAATAACCGTACATCCCAGTATGGTGATCGGAATCATCGGAAATCTGCTCAATATAATTGTGCTTAGAAAATCTGTATTGTACAATCATCCATGTTCTCATTATTTTCTCGCACTTGCTAGTAACAATTTGTTCTTCTCAATCTTTCTTCTCATGTTTAATCTTTTATCCCTTAGCTATCAAATAGATCCAACTAGCAATTCTCAATTATGGTGTAAAGTTATTCTCTATATTCAACAGTATCTCTCGTAGTGTCACCGTATTTAATTGTACTAGCTTTGATCGATCGATATTGTGTTAGTTCATCAAATTTTCAACGACGACATCTTAGCAATTTGTCTGTTGCTCGATGGTCTATTTTATTTGTCTTCACCTTTATCGCTCTTTTCTTCATTAGTTCTCTGGTACTGCTCAATATACAACCAGGTCAAGCGATTCTATGCTGCATTTTACCAACAACAGTTTATAGGCGTATATATCCGATTATTCAAGCAGTTCTCTTAAGCTTTATTCCTCCATTTCTAATGCTAATCTTCGGTATCCTGACCATATACAATGCAAAGGCAGTTCGTGTTGTTCCTATTACATCTACACGATTCCGTCGTACTGAACATCAACTTGCTCGCATGCTATTTGTCCAAGTGATTTCCCATATTTTACTTTCTACACCATTAGCTACAGTTTATATATTGGGCTTCTTGTCTGTTCAATACTTAAGTTCCCTCGAATATTACTTTGCTTTTCAACTAACGAAACTTATCTATAGTTTATCATATACCACATCCGTCATCTTGTAGTTGCTATCGGATAGCATATACAGAAAAGAACTAATTAATGCTATAAAGAAACTATTTCGATCTCATCCTAACAATTAAATTACACCATTCGTCTCAACTATTAGAACGATTCCGATGAAAACATTTAAGGTTTGAAGGATGGACTAAATCTTAGAAAAACTCTAATTAGACTTACTTTTTTTGATGCGAAGAAGCGCGATGATTATCTGATGGATAATTAAGTAAATTAAAATTTTTAAAATTTCGTTTAATTTAAATTTGATAATTTTATTAATTTTTTTGTAAGACGATTAAAATTTATATTCAGCTTTTGAAAACCCGATTACTGCGAACAAATATTGAAAGTGAATTGTTTTAAAAGATATTTATAAAAACTTATTTTTTTTTAC